TTTTAAAGCATTTTAAAAATACCTATTTAGGAATTCTAAGATAATGATTGCAAAATTTCTTGTAGAAAAAAAAAACAAGCCCTATGATTTTTTCTCATCACACTGACCTCAAAAGGAAGGATATAAACCCTTGTTACTGGTTTTTTTTACAGCCTCACTTTTTTTTTTTTTTTTTCTTTTTCTTACAGCCTCCAACTTAGAGAAAATCCTGCCCTGAAAACAAATAAAAAAACGGTATATGATTTCCCTACCTGCTGGTGCCATGGTGCCCCCACTTCCAGCAGCTGCCTCTGCACCCCTGCTCACTGCTGCAGTGGGATGAGGATGGTAAGGGGAGGTGGCAGCTCAACACTGCCATGGCAGCTCCCCGTGCTGCCAAGGAAATTAAGCTGCACCAGGGCCTTACCTAGCTGCAACTGGGAAAGAACATGTAATGTTTAGGCATATATCCTGTACTCTTTGCTGCAGTCTACTTCAAATAAAAACAGCTATTGTTGGTACCCCTTTTCCTGCCAGATGCCTTCCATGGTGTATTGAAATATTTTATAGAAACCAATCCTCTGTCTCTCGATTAACCTGAATTTCTACTGGACCTTAGAGGAAGTAATGTGTTACCATGGAGAGGAGGAAGGGAAATCCTAATTATAAAACTAGTGCTTCTAAAACATTATTAAAGAAAAAAAAAAAGAATCCACAAAGTCTGTTTCTCAGGGATAAATCACTATACAATCAGAGTAGCTCTTTTCTTTTTTTTCCTCCAGACAATATTTTATAAGTAACAGCGCTCTTTAGGTAGACAGCTAGTATTTTGTTTGTTTCATGGGGGGAAAATATACCAGCATAACCTAATTCAGCTTCTGCTGGATTTCTCTGAAAATGTAAGACAAAATTTTAAAAAAAGGAACTGTAGTATTTATCTCTGTGAGACACCATCAGAGTTTTGACTAGTAGAGATTCAAACCTAATTTAAATGAGTGATCAGCTGTGACAAAATACCATTTATGAGGAATCCCTGAAAATAAAGTTTTCTCCTGCTGTGTTTCCTGCAGCAGAGTTCAATGGTGACCAGTCAGCCATCTACATATCTACAACACCAAAATATAAAATATAAATACCTTTGATCTGAATGTTTTTATTTTATGTCAGTAAATTTCACCCCTCCCTAGCAAGGTGGGATCAGTAACTAGAAATATCAGAATATGTCTCAAGACAGGAATTCATAGAAAGTGCAGCAGGAGAAGAGGTCCTTCAAGACTTGGGCAACCTGCTTTTAGTTGCTTTTTTGTAAAATGAGTTAAAGTTAATCGTCAAGCCACAAGCTAAGCTGAGATAGAGTATTTTGTCTGCTGTTGAACTTGCTGTACTTGGCATGAAATAGTTCTGGTTTTGTTGAGCTGCAGAACAGCATAATTCTTTAGTTCTACAGCAGATTAGACTAATTTCTCATTGTTTTGTGGCAGGAAGTGCTCTTACAGTGACTTGCTGATAAAGAAAAGGGTGTCTGTACACAGTTTGTATTGCAGCCTTGTCCCTCTCCTCAGCATCTTCTCTTGCACAAGACTGCCAAGTGCCAGCATGCTGACGCCTATGGGTCCAGGAATACAAGCTCTCCTCTGCTTATGCTGGGTGGACACAGAGTTCAAACAAATATCAGTGTACTGAAATGAGATTCAGGCCACCCCAATTTTAAGTGTTTGCAATAAGAACTTGTTGATTAACAGAGGCTACAGCAAATAGGGGACAGCCATTACTCTTCATGGGATGTAGACAGCTAGTCAGCTCATTGGATGCAGATGCCCACTTAGGCTGAATTAAATAGCTCTCAGTGCTACTGACTACACCAGATCTTTAGTGACTCAAGTGAGAGCTTAGTCACAGAATTTATGTGTAGATACCACAGTACTAATCACATGCAGCAAAATTAGTTTAATCCTCCCCTAAATATGCTTTGTACCCTAAACTCAGAGGTCGCAACTGACAGTAATCTTTGCAAAGTCATCCACTGTACATGTTTCAGGAATAATTTTGGACTTGGAGACATATTAGGAAAATGAAGAAGTGCATATATATTTCCAGTGAGATTTTCTAAAATAATTAATCTAGTTTTGTTTATTGTTTGTTCATTCTTTACCATTGTGTATGTGCACAAGTCTGCACACATGCATATGTGCACAAACACACGTATACACGTTGTAAATAAAAATGTCCTGTGTCTCACTCGAACTTTTACTGTCCTACCCTAAACTGAAAAATAATACTAATTTGCTTGCCATGTATGCACACTGGAAGGCTATTAATATTTACAAAATGAATTGAAGCAAAGTGCTAAACACCATTATCTTATTGATGACTACCAAATTATAACTTGGTTTGCAATTCATTATATTATCTTCTGCATATGGATGGGTATTGTTTGATTGTGTGGAATAGGTTTATTTTTTAAGAAAAACACAGTAAACGTCTTGACATCAGAACTCTCTTAAGTCCAAACAGAATCACAGAATCATAGAATCATCAGGGTTGAAAAAGACCTTGAACATGATCAAGTTCCACCATCCACGCTACAAGCTCTAACTAAACCACCTCCTGAAACACCATGTCTACCTGCTTTTTGAACACCTCCAGAGACAGTGCCTGTACCATCTCCCTGGGCAGCCTGTTCCAATGCCCCACCACTCTTTCTGTGAAGAAATTTTTCCTAATATCAAATCTGAACCTCCCCTGGTGCAACTTGACCCCATTTCCTCTTGTTCTATTGCTAGACACTAGGGAGAAGAGGACAACACCTACTTCACTGCAACCTCCTTTCAGGGAGTTGTAGAGAGCAATGAGGTCTGCCCTCAGCCCCTCCTCTCCATGCTGAACAGCCCCAGCTCCCTCAGCCCCTCTTTATAAGACCTGTTCTCCAGACCCCCTAATCAGCCTAGTTGCTCTTCTCTGCACCCTCTCCAGCACCTCAATGTCCTTCCTATTCTGCAGTGACCAAAACTGCACACATGACTCCGGGTGCGGCCTCACCAAGGCCAAATACAGGGGCAGAATTACCTCCCTGGTCCTGCTGGTCACACTGTTCCTGACGCAGGCCAGGATGGTATTTCTTTTCTTGGCCACCTGGGCACACCGCTGGCTGATGTTCAGCTGGCTGTCAATCAACACCCCGAGGTCCCTCTCTGTTGGGCAGCTCTCCAGCCACTCCTACACAAGCCTGTAGTGCTGCTGGAGGTTGTTGCGGCCAAGGTGCAGGGCTCAATGTATACACAATGTATAAAGTGAAGTACATTGCCATGAACATTTGGTCTGCCTCTGAGATGGTATAGAGCATTTATAGGGTTTTATATTTTACTCTGTGTTTAACTAGCTTACCTTAGGCAACTAATTTAGTACCAAGCTTTCCAGTGCAACCCTAATGGTGGAGGCCATTTAATCTCAGATCTTTGGACCAAGTTGTTGAATGACCTATGTATTGAAATGCCTTTTTACTGATTTAGTGGGAGTAAGTTGTCTAAATATCTTCAAAATTCTCAGATGATACTCCAGACCACAACAATCTGAAGATAACATTTATATAAGCTGAAAGTTTGTGAGGATGATTCCATCCAGTCTTGAAAAAAACTATCTGAGGTTGTTGAGATGTACTAACCATATTTCTTGCCTACTATGTCCTCTCCTAATCATTCCTGGAAAATGTTTGAAGCATAAAGGCCTGTAAAAGGAATCAAACCATTTAATCAGCCTATGCATAGACCTGTATTAGCACACCTTTTAAAATGAAAATACTACCAGAATGTAACAAGACTAAAGAAGATATAAAAAAAAAAAATAATAAAAAATCTGTTCTTCACAGGGGAAAAACTTATTTATTTTCCTTCCAAGAGCTGCTGAATTGTTTTGAATGCTATGCCTCAGATTCTTCATTTATCTGACATAAGAATGCAGGTGAACAAAGCTGAATATAGTAAAAACTGATCTTGCTTTTCTCTTTTTTCCTGAATATTGCATGACACCATGTCTCTTCACTCTGAATACTGCATGACACGGAGCAACAAAAATCCTCCAGAAGATCACTAGGTGTAAAAAATTGGGAACAAATTTCTTCTAGTAATTTTGTTTTGTGAGCTAGCGACTGTGGCAAGCTGTAGTGTAAATGTGTGTTATTAAATCTGGGCTCAAATCCTAGGACCTCTGAGAAATCTTTGTGATGAGGAATACTTTCATGCTCTCATAGTTAGAGCTAATGAAAGAATGATTATCCACACTCTTT